CTTAACACAATGCATTCTTCATGTTGCATTATCTTGCCATTCAGTATATTTTCACAATGTGCCGCACATGTCCAAGTAACGTAATACTTTTTTATTATACCATGATAATGGTACTTTTACTTTCATGTAGGTATCATGCAATAGACAAAATGATGCTCATACTGTCACATGACACACTAAAACCTTCAGGAATTTTACCCAACACACAACGTATTACAACGATGAGGTAATAATGATAAATAAATAAAAATGTTTGCAAAACAATCAGACTTGATTATAGCCTGCGTTTATTGTCGCATTTTTACGCTCAATAGGTAATTACTCATCGGATCAATTACCAACTAGGTTAAACTCTAAATACACGATTATGATTGAAGCAATTAATTAAATTCCACGCCCTTGTTAGATCACTTATTAAATGTTGAACTGCGTACTGCACATGTGTACACACGCATGTAAAAGTTGTTGGTGCGCCATTATTACGCCATCAGAAGTTAATAAAAATAAACTACGACATATTGTAGTACTAGACATGCCCTCTGGTGTGTTGTTGTTTTGTCGTGATAGAATGTATAAAGGAGCAACCAAATATGGGTTGAAAAAGGCACACGTCTAATTAAATTGTAAAAAATAATTAAACATATTGTGTTGCTTCTTTTTTAATTTAGATCGCAGCAGATAGCATATTCACGGGAATTGTTGTTAAAATTACGCTTTTTGTACGCTTGAATAGGCTGAAGTCATGGCTTAAGGAGCTGCTGTTTTCTATTAGCTAGGACCACACCTAATCTAATTGAAACATGTTTTTCATTCGGTCGCACTGTGAGCATAGTTTAATTAACACCCAACACCACATAGGAATTTGACATAGAATGGAAAACAGCAGTTAATTATTCTTTTTATGCCTAGGCAGTAAAATAAAACACCGGAACTTTTGCAGAAATATAAAATCTCTTTAAAAATCTTTTATTTTTGTCGGGGTTTATTGAACTACTTCTTTAATACCCACAATAATCATCCAATTTAAATTTTTATACCGTAGTAAACTTGGTCACCCATTTTCCGTAAATGTCACGCCACGATCCAGTTTATGGAGAATACAATAAGGAAAAGGTTAGAACCCAATACTGTTTCATATTTTTTATGGCCCTATTGTATTTCGTGTTAATGTGTAACAATAATAATAATAACAAAACTGATAAAATTACAGTAGTGCAAACAAGTCAAATTTTATCGCAATATTTTAATTTGTGCACGTTTTTCATTGACTTTACCATTAGGTTGATTGTTCTCGATTAATGCGCTTGTTTTTCGCCGGGCGATTGTTTGCGGTTTGTTTTATTGCGCACGTTTTCGTGTCGCACGAGTCAACTGCAAAACACAGCCGCCAAACTGTGCAAACACCATAAAAGTGCATCGTGCATATAGCACAAGATCGATGAGAGTAATCGATTATAAATTGTGCATGTCAAAGTCGAATGAAAGTGCTCTCTTTTCGCTTGTGTAAAAATATCTACCCTTCGTTATTTGCGAAGAGGTTTTTCGAAGTGGGTTGATCTGCATAAAAAAGCGAAAGCGAGTGCGCACACACAGCCGTCAACAACGAGACGCTGTGTCGAGCCGCAAAAATCAATATATTCTTCTTATGTTTGCGCGGAAACTATGAACGATGTTAGAGATTATCCATCTTTGATGCAATGAGAGCAGTCAATAAGCTTCAGCCGGCTGGATAGAGTTGGGGCAGGAGTGGTGGCGACCGACATAGACTTGGAGACGGCAATGACGCCAAACGTCCGCCAAGCAGGCGACACAAGAATGGATTCTTATAAAACGAGTGTTTCAGAGAACAAAACACTTTAATCTAATTTGGTATGACATAGTTTTGTTTTCAGTGAAATACTCGTAAATTATTCACGATAGAAATATAGTTCTTGTAGAATTAGATTCAGAATTAAATTCTACATCTAAATTAGCAAAGATTTAATTAATAGAATTGTGATCTAAAAAGTTATAAGCAAATCAAGTTGAAACATTTAAATTTAATATTTCTAGTAAAATATCTTTAAAATTCACTAAAATATTAAATGAAATTATGTTTAAACACCCTGTAGAACCTTCAAGGATACAAATGCATGCGTACATTCAAGTTCGTAAGCCAAGAACTAGGGAGAAATAGGAAACGCATAAATTTTATTCCCGGTTCCTTTGTACTTGCTATAACCAACTGAATCTTTCCACAAATTGTGATATATACGAGCAGGAGTAGTTTGCGCAGTTCTCATAGACGTACCAGACTGGAAGAAATGCGTAAAAGTGGAAGCGGAAAACAAAACTTTACCCGTATTGTATAAAACGAGTACACGTACGATCATACTCTTTTTTTCACTTATTGTACAAAATACGGATTCCAGAAGATATACAACACATCGTAAGTATAAATATTACAGAATTACATTGAACTTGAAGCGTACTTCCGGTCTTCAGAGTGTTTTCAACATTCAACATTCAGCTTTCCGGTATCACATATTCTGTTGTACATGGCGCTCGCGCAGTTGGTGATGGATAGTAATGAATGAATCGAATAAATAATTCTAATGAAATGAAAATACATACGAGTACACAAATGCTTTTCACACTCTTCTGTCAACGCAAGCGTACGACACCTATTTCCGGTTGGGTGCGTGTTTTTGATTATTGCTTAGATATTCTATTAAATAACAAATGGATGCCTTGACACTTTTCACCGTTTTGTTCGCCATCAATCAACACACATCGTTAATATAGTGTCTGCGTAATAATAACATTTCACTAATTGCAAAGTTTTGCATTTCGAGTAGATGCTTTCTATCGCACGTCATTAAACAATGTAAACAGTTATGCAGTCATTCAAATATTTGCTACCGCACTAGGTCAGTAGGTTTTCAACGTGGATCTGTTAATCATCAGGAACGCTGCCAATGCACGGCATACACCACGATCCGCAGATAAACAAATTTGCTTGCAATTTCTATTTCGAGACGCAGCGTACGTGAATCATTGTTTTTAGTGGTTGAAAGTTTAAAGTATGAAATCTCAGTCGTTAAACGGTTGAACGTGCGTAATTGTATTGTACGCAAGCTGCAGTAAAATCCACAAACAAATTAATAACATATTCCATTTTAAATTTAGAAAACAAACAATCTTAATTGTGATTTCAATAACATTCGCTGAAAGAATAATCTAGAACGTTTAATTAACTGTTGGTTTAAATAACAGAGCAAAAAATTAGTACGTGTACAACATGCGTAAAATTAATAGCACCCTTAATATAGTCATAATTAAAACAAGCAAAAGAAACCCCGGATGTAATTTCGATTATACTCGCCTAGTACTCAACCTCACTTCGAATTACACATCAAAATGAGTTTTAAAATAACTCAATTCATTACGCCGAACAGCACAACATACTTGTTATTATCTCCAAAGGAAGTGTAGTAACAGTGAAGAAAAAATATCTAAAAATACCTAAACTAACACTTAGAAGCACATTGTTCCTAAGGTTAGATATTAGAAGAACATCTAGTCCTAAAAAAACAACGAAAACGGAGACATGATGAAGAACAAGTGCACGATATTTATAGCTCGATGCACCGTGCTCTTCTTTTTGTTCTTCGGCCTCATCAGGTGTTCGTGCACTATTACCAGTAGTCTAACAACACCGCGTTAGATGTTGTACGTGTGAAGCGTGGGTCCTACCGGTGGAGCCATCGAAAGTGTTGCATATAACACAACAATTTCGTGTTGGAGGTCATTGGCCAGACAGATATTATTAGCCATGGTCTTCTTTCACATTCATCACGCACACCACCGCGCGTTGGTGCATCCACAACGAATTGAGAGCGCGTCTTCACTGCATGCGGGCAGTTGCTTCCAAAAACGAAAATGTAAGCATGTAAGGTATGCATGTAGTGCATAAAGACATTTAGTCATTTTGAATATCGAAGGACATTTGTAAGAGTAAAAAAGATTTGGATTCTTTGGAATCTCACCTACAAGTGAAGATGGTAATGTTCCTTTGTTGTATAGATTTGAATGTTGAATGTATAGTGCACGTTGTCGATGTACCGGCCAAACTATTCAAGACGAGCGAGGCTTTCGCCTCGTTTTTATTTTTAGTTTCATTTTTTGATGCAACATGCCGACGCGACGCATAGTTCTTAATGTGTTGGCTACGCCACATCACGTACGAGTGTCTGGTTATCTTTTCAACGCTTTAGTAACGTTAAGATTCCAGGTTTGTTTCGTGCTTACTTTTTTTTACACAAATTCAGCAGTTTTATAAAGGTTTGTCTAAACAGTTAAGTTCTCTTTCTCATTAGTAAGGACCTTACTTGAAGCTGCTTTACTGCTTTGAAGTTCTTAGATTGCGTTCACCATTTCAGAATTGCCAACAGCAAATAAATTCCCGAACAGAAGTGCAGTTTTCAGCGCCAGCGCGTGAGCGTCCTTTCCGTTTTTGTTTCAAGTCATAAATTTACATCCAACAGTTTTCGTTGTTATTTGAACCGAAGCCACAAACGCTAGAGCCTAGGTAAACGAACATGGAGTGCGCTCGTAACTAATCCCCGTGTTCCTTTATTTTACTACTTGGCTTCGCTTTCAACTCGTAGCAACAACAACAAATCCTTAAAATGAAACTCAAGGTGTAACCCAATTTCACGTTCCGGGTTGTTTCAACTGCTAAGTGCAAATAAATCTTTATGCAAAACTTGCTACTTTCGAGACAGTTCAATGATTGAGTAATGTGTTTAATTTTTATTTTTATTTTACTGAAGCCACTTAAAACGGATTATAGGTATCTATATTTCTTATAATAACAAACAGAAATTTTTAAGTTATGCGAATGCATGTGTGGTTTATTATTCTAAACGTAATTGCTCCAATTAAGCGTTAATTAATAAACATTCACCATGTTTATTGGAGTAATGTTATTGCTATAAAAGTGTGTTCCCCTTAGTTAATTTTTGGTGCGTATGTGGAGATGCATGCGTGTTTTTTAAGTGCGTTCGTTAAATTATACAATATGAATAGTAATTAAGCACTCGCCGGTTGAACGCCTAAAGTGGCTTAATAATAGCTCACCAAAATTGTTGGACCGCATGCATATAAAATAGGTATGAGCTTTTACAGCTACTAGTAATAAAATAAGTATCCGAAATTTCTTGTATGGTTAAATATACAGGGTATAAATGCGATTATTTTCAATTAAAGATCAAACAAACCCGAATATTGAGATCATTTTGCTTAGGATCTCATCGTGGAGTTGTTGATACACACCTGCAACAAAAAAATAAGTTTATTAGTAGGTACTCAGATGTCAAAAGTTTTCCTCAGAAAGTAAAATTTATAGAGAAAAATTAAATATAAATTTATTGTGAAGAAAACGTGTTTTTAAGTTATAAAAATTATATTTTATCACATTTTAGGCACATTTATTAAATTTTTCGAGCTTATTAACAGTTAAATATCAAAATTAAATTTATTCTACTGAACATCTCTTACTGCATTCAATAATTTAAAAAAAAAGATGAAATAACTTGACATAAAATAGAGATCAAATATTAATGCCGTCGTCAATAACTATTTTCGGAAACAGATATCGTAACCCACCAGCTGCTGAATTTTATGTCTATCCTATTTATCGACTCAAACCATTAATCATTAATATGAACCAATTAATAATCGAAGATAATTACGTAGTTAACTCTACATCAAATATTAAACTAGACACTTTCAGCTCTAAATTATAATAAAATTACGCAACTGAATTCCCAACTGAAATTTTGAATCAAATAAATTTCAAGATGACAACATCCCAATGACAAACATCCTTTTACCGCATGAGTCAGCCAGACACAACCAGAAATCATAAGACTGTACTGCTACCAGCATACGTAAGTAAATATGTCATCAATTGATTCAACCGGAGAAACAAATGTTATGTATTGACGGGCCCTATTAAATACAACCTTGAACAATTTATAACATTTTAATGTTATAAATCGTCGTCGTGCAGTGAGACGCAGCACGAGTGATGAATGCGCACGTAAGCATTAGTATGAATTAAATTTGCCGACTGCGATGATTAATCGCAAGCACGCAGAATTTATTATCTATAAATTGCATCTAAAAAGATTGATTGATGAATGCCGCTTGTTCCTATGAAAATCATATTGCACTTTGTCTTCTATATTCTCATGAATATGTAAAAGTGTAAACTGGAAATTTAACGAGCCGGAAAGACATGAAACCCTGGAAACTGTTATGATTAATATATGCAAGGTGAAATGGGTAATAATTTCTTATTTACTTTATATTTAAATTATTAATGAATGAAAGTGAATGATAATGTCACGATCGTTAATTTTACATTTTTGCTCATTACTCATAAAAAATACTTGTACGCTATGGGCAGGTAAGTAGGTTGAACAATATTGTTGACAATGGATGCAATGCAGTTAGAATTTTAATTCAAGGACAGTCGTAAACCTACTGGATGAGTAAAAAATGCAAAAATCAATTACCTATATTGTATAATATAATAAGTACCTACAGAAAAAGAAAAATAAAACTTTTTGATGGGTGAATGATGAAAATTATGCAATTTTTAAAATTTGCTTATTAATTATTACAAAATATTTATGTAAAAATTTATTTTTGCAAAAACATTTGTATTTTTCTATTTGCAGGAAGGTTTCCAGTAACAATATAGATCGGTTAGTCATCCGATATTATTTCCGGTGTTGTTTGCAAAATAATTCAAAATGTGTCAAATTAAATACCTAGAAATTTTCAAAAAATACTTTCTAAGCGATAAAAAGTCCTCTAATAACCCTCAAGACCACTTATTATTACTACTCACCAATTCATGGTCAATTTAACGCACTAAGAAAGAAATAATTTGCTACTTTCCTATCGGACGGACTTTCTGTTTTCTATGTCACGCCAAAAACTAAATATGAACTCGCAGTATGTAATGTATGCCTATTTAATTTTCATATCTAGCCATTTCAAACATTTCAACAAACAATTTCCAATCCAACTTTCAATGCAAATGATGCATGCATGTGTGGCCTGAGGAATTAAAACGTCCGCCTGTCTGCCATTGCATTATGTAAAAGTTGAGTTTACCGCGAGCGGCAGAGCGTGGAGAACGGTGAAGCGCACGTGCTGGGTGACGGCATTTCAAGATGACGTAGATTTAGATTAATTAACGCTATCATTAATTATCGCCTTGCCCAAGCGCTACAAACACCACAAAGTCTCACTTTTTGACTCTTGTTTTTAACGGTTGTTAAAAACAGAGGCAGATGGTTTTTGGAACAATAAGTACGTTTATATTACATGCATAAATATTATTTTTAACCCTTTAATGAAAAATTTGCTTTTTCCCTAGATTTTATATGAATAAAAAGTTATTTTTCGCCTCCAGGGCAGTTAAAAATTATTTTTGCATCTTCCGCAATTATGTATTTACAATAAAACCAAAAATTTATCAAGATAGCGAAGACATAAAATTAGAAAAAATTAAAAAATGATTATATTTACTGGAATTAACAGAATAATGAGCCTATTTAACTTAGATTGTAAAAGATATACAACACAAATTCGTTGTTGAAACATTTTAATTTGATATATCAAAGTAGTGCGCCAACAAAGAACTGCCTGATGTTAAATTGGCGACTCTGGAATGATGAAAGAAGACGAATTAAATGTACCCATGAGTAATGTAGTTTGGTCGGTTTCTTTGATCTATTACAAACGTTTCATCTTAAACCGTAGGCCTTGAAGTGATGTTCAATGAACGGTTATCAGGGTCGTGTAATAAAAAACAACAAATTATTTTTATCTGCGGTTGTATTTTTGCGCTAATGAGACATGCAAATAGATCACGACCTCTAGAATTTCCAAAGCACCTTAGATTCTCCTTAAGGACTTGTCAATTTGTGCCGTTTGTGGTGAATAAATAACTAAATCCAATACAAGCTGAATATAGTGAATACACTTGAGATATGCTAAATGGTATGCCGTCTGGATGCTTGGTTATACATTTTACATTTTAGCTGTTGGTGTAATTTTAGAGCAGACAGCAGAAAATTTCGTATTTATATATTACACGTTTTGCTATTCCTATTCAACATCAATTTCAACGCGATTCAGTCAACCGCGTGTTTTCGTCCTCGTTTTCGGTTCGGGAAAGCTTTAAAGATCTTTCGAGATTTGAAAAGATGACGCTCCGGTAGTTGTATTATTAGATTTCTGCCATTTGGTCAATAACCTTTTCTTTTTTCGGGTAAACACTGAGTTGCTATCAAACCCGCATAGCATTCCATTTATCTAATCTATTTAAATGTTGATTTTTTTTCAGTTGTAAGCATTGAATACATTGAACTACTGAATCTCAAAATAAAATAAAAACTTACATACATTATTTATTGAGAACAGTTGTACGAATTGTAGAAACTATTTGAGCAGTGAAAATATAAACAAAGTTTTGACTTATTTTTAAACTTTTTTTACTACAAGCTATTATTACACTCAACAATCATGCAATATGACACAAATAGCTACGTTGTAGTAAGAGCAACAACGCAATCGAACGTGACTTTGGCCAAGTTTGAAACGATGTAAACCATAACGGCTGCAAGAAACAAACCACGAGTAGCAGATGGACCAAAAAATTCAACAAAACTTTGTGTGTTGACCCTGAGATCAAATTTAAGCTAAGCAGTTAATGGAGCTGACCAAAATTGGCTTTTTTATTTGTAAAATAAAATCGAAAAAGTTTTGGTTTTACTGGCTGTGCAAGATTAGTCATTGTTACGTTGTATGACGGCATTTATTACAAAACATGTCATTATTTCAAGAAAACTCAGTTTTACGAGCAAATCAGTTTTAACGATGTTTGTGTCTTGAGTAGAGAACGTTTGTAAAATATAGAATTTCATAGTTTTCTCATCGTAATGTCTCTAAATTTGCAAATTTCTTTTCTTCAAGTCACACTGCAACATTTTCATGATTTATTATTAGACACGTAATTTTCTATTGAAGTAAACATGTTCTAATCAGAAAAAATGAGTAGGTAATAACTGATTATAAATTGTTAATAAAGCTGCTGGTTCATGCCTAAAACCATTAAATATATAAAAAAGAAAATAAAAAGATTTATACATTAAAATTTAATTAAAAACAATATAAAGTTTCATAAACATTTAATTATAATTCTATTTATTCCAGAACTAGGTTAACACCTTCCTGAATATCCGAAAGCTATCAATTCTTGACTTGACATAAAGATCGCGATTTCATGCGTGCGAGTAATTAAAACAGTGCTACCGCCATACCACCACCCAACCAACCCATTTGCCTATTTCCAAACACAAATCGCAACGAGGCACATGAAGAAAATGTTGATTTACTGAGCGATGCATTAAATCCCCGCAAAGTCGACTTTTCGCACCGCACCCTTTAATCTATTCCGTGCGATCTGACTATTTATTTAGTTATATATGCCAAGCCTGAACCGCCTGCATTGCCATACACTACAACTACAAACCCCCACACTGACTAAACATGGCGCCGCTGTGCACTGCATGCATAAGAAACAAGGAACAAGGGAACAAAGAAAATAATACCAAACATTTCGCGCGCATTTAGGTCTGTGTGCAGAAATAGAACACTCGTGTTGGAATTTCGCACTCTTTACCGATCTGAAAAGCGAGACGCTACTATTTTTGCCTAATAATAAATCTTGCGAGATTAAAGGAAGACCACGCGAACGCATTACGCCACCATCGGATTAGTTGATTGCGCGAATGGCATTCATAAATAATCAATCAGTGCTTGCGGTGCGCGGCTAGTTGGTATGTTTTACTTTGATTAGAATTTGATTTATGCGCACTTTTATTTTTCATTCGAGAGGCGGACGGACGCAGATACAGCGGAAAGAATTATTCATTAGTTGTTTTGAATAATGCTCTTATTGTATCAATGCAATATAAATAAACTTTCAATAACATTATCATCGTAATGCTTCAAGAATGTGATTATAAAATTCTTGCAACACAAGAAATTAAAATTAAATGTTTAATTATTACGTCGTAATAAATGTCAACAAAAAAATTATCTTCTCCTCGAATTGTATTTCACACACTCAGCAGAGTCCAAGATTAAGTGATAATTATCAATCAACTCCACCTCGAGAGTAATTTCAGTAAGATTGCGTGACTTGCGCCGCAGTGATGTAAACGCGGCAACGTTGCAACATCACTTAAATT